AAATCTCTGGGGTCCATTATTAATTGTATTATGGAAAAGCATCCCAAAGAAAAATGTGCCAATGGTAAACGGTAATGTTCATTGCACGGCCAAAAAAAAGTCACACACTAATATCTTGTTGGACTTATTTTAGCTTTGATTACGGCACATATTCACCATGGCATCGTTTAGATAAGCTTATGCAATGTCACAAGGAGTACTAGAGTGTTTTTTACATGACATTTTAGTGATTGGGTTTACAAATACTTTAACTTCAGAAGGGATCAGTAGTATAAATAAAACGTTTACAAAAATGGCTGAAAGCTGAACTACTTGGTTATGGCAGATGGCACTTAATTTTTCATTAATGGGTTTTTTAATCAAACTAGTGTGTTCAACCCTTAAAATATCACGATATTACATGGAATTGCCTGCCATAGTGATCTTTAGTGAATCAAGTCTTCTGCAACTCTACGCAAGTAAAATTATAGAAGGCCTACGTCCAACCATTGTTACATTATGCAATACCTGCAAATAAAACTATTATAAAGGTTTCTTTCACCACCTTGTGGCCACGGGTGGCACTGCTGCCTGAATACGCTGACCGTATTAAATTCAGTTCTGATATACATTGATGGCTTTATGCTATTATAAAAAGCTGCAGCTTCTCAATGGAGTTGAGTTAACTGATTTGTGTGAATCCGAGTTTGCAATGGAATAAGCCATTTTCCTGGAAGCAGATGTTCACTGATAATTAACATAGATTGCATGTTTTTAATGCTTTTCATGTGACTGTTGATGTGGCTTCAACAGCATCCCTGCTATCCCCTGTGACCAGAGGGGTATCTTCAATAAATTCTGCTCCTGGCATCCTGCTAGCTCTTGGCAACCAGTGACATTGCTGGTTGCCAGGAGCTGGGCGGGACGCCAGACAGAGTGTCCCAGGTTGCTAAAAGTTGGGTAGGCATGTTTATTTAAGCCAACTCTTGTGCATTATTAGAAATACTATATTTAGGGGCTGATTTATAACTCTTCCTCCCATCATATAGCTGTGGAGATGCTGTGGTCACTGCACTACTGCCATTAGATGGTAGGAAATATCTATGCTCCTCATCACCATCTAGTGGCACGAGTCAGGGCGGTCTTTAAAGCAGAACTATGAGGTGAGTGCTTTTCACTCACCTCATAGTTCTAGCCGACCTGTGACAATGAGACTGTCACAGGTCGGCTCAGTAGATCGGGAGGTGAGCGAACACATACCGGTGTTCGCTCACCTCTCGATCCTGTCATGGCTCTCTGCCGTGACAGGGTAGGGGCTGGATTCCCCCCTCCCCGCTCCGATCCACCAGCGCTGACTGGCGGAATGGACGGGGGAGGGGGCGGGTACAGCTGGCTCTGCCTCTAGGATTGTCGGGATCCGCTTCAACTGCGGCGTCTCAGTATACCGCAAGCAGCAGCTCGCGGTATACTGAGCCTAGGGTGCGGGAGGATGCTAGTTTGTGTCCTCCGGTTACCCTAAGGAGAACAATTTAAATTACCAATTTGTATTGAGATTGTAGTCCATCACAGGAGTGAGCTTGGAGTGGTGACTACTTTACAACACATACAGGGGCCATGAGGAACAAAAGTAGCCACCCTGCAGAAGGAAGGACGGTGTCAGCACCAATTCAGAGATGATTGGAGGATCTACAGCCGAGTGATGCACAAATAAGATACATTTTTGTTCATAGTTAAGGTACTTGACTGCATTTTAAGATTTAATTCCTGAGTTCAGTGTGACTTAAAAGTGTATTTACTTTGTATTACTATGTACATTTTACTGTTGAATAATGGGGCAAGGGTTTAGGACCCATACCAGGTTTTTATAGCTGTCTATGTGCCCGCTTTGTCCTGATGACCACTGCCACTGTACTTAAAGGAGAACTATGGGGTTAAGGCTTTCCCCCATAGTTCTCCTTAGGGTAACGGGAGGACACAAACTAGCGTCCTCCCTTCACCCTAGGCTCAGTATACCACGAGCTGTAGCTCGCGGTATACTGAGACGCCGCAGCTGAAGCGGATCCTGACAATTATGCCGGGATCCGCCCAGCTGCGTGAGTGACAGCTGGCTCTGCCTATCTAGAGGCAGAGCCAGCTGTATCCGCCCCCTCCCCCGTCCGTTCCGCCAGTCAGCGCTGGCCGATCGGAGCGGGGAGGGGGGAATCCAGCCCCTCCCCTAAGAACAGTGACAGGATCGAGAGGCGAGCGAACCCGGTATGTGTTCGCTCACCTCCCGATCTACTGAGCCGACCTGTGACAGTCTCATTGTCACAGGTCGGCTAGAACTATGAGGTGAGTGAAAAGCACTCACCTCATAGTTCTCCTTTAAAGTCAATTTGGTCTTTTTTTCTATTTGTAGATGTTTGTTTTTTTACATGGCCTTTTGATACAGAGTGCACCCATGACACTATTGCTGCAGTGCCTTAAGGGTTTCTATAGAGAAATCACAGTAAAATCTTTTTTATTTCCGTCTGTCTCTGAAACTTCCATGGAGCCTATCTTAACAGACAGAAAAGGGTGGGGAAGGTGGAAATGGCGTTAGGAGTCACTTCTCTGTCTCATTCTGTTGTCATTGGACCACATTGGACTTTGAGCTACTGAGCTCTGTAATGAAATCAGATATCCTGGAAAACAAGTGAAATGTATTTCCAGCTGTTGCCTGAAAATGACCACACAGGATATTTATAAGAAAAATTTAAAGCATATCTAAACTCAAGAACAAAAATGTAATATATTGCAGCTTAGCAGCCAATAGATGGGGTGGCTGCATTACTTTTTTTTTTTTTTCTGGCTTCTGTCTTTATTTTCCTCTGGTGATTTGACCAATACCATACGAAGATTGACAACACTCACTCATTGTACTATATCTGTGGAGAAACAGGCGTGTCACCATTATACTGTATCTATGAAGAGCACGACTACAGAATTCTCCCCCTCTCCTCTTTCCCATAACATAGAGAAGAGGTATTTTGTAGTCTACAGAGGTGAACTGGAAACAATAAACAGTGTAACTGATAAGACTGAAGCACAGGCAAGATTTCTGGTAGGATCAACAGGTGATTTGTTGTACTTATTGAACAGATATAACAAAACACTTTCAATTGTATATTGAAGAGATAAAAAGAGAGCAAATAAGAGAAATTTATTGTTAAGGTTTATATCAGGGGTGGGCAAACTCCAACCCTCCAGCTGTGGCAACACTACAAATCCCATCATGCATCTGTCCCTGGGAGGCATTTATGTGGCTGTTAGAATCTTGCAATGCCTCATGAGATTTGTAGTTCCACAACGTCTGGAGGGCTGGAGTTTGCCCATCCCTGGTTTACATTCACCTCAATAGTTACCTAATTAAAGTTGAAATGAACTAATAAATCATCAGGCTTTCTGTGACACAAGAGACTGTGTAAGACATGACCAATCAAGTGGCCGAAGACTCGAAACCTGGAAGAAAACCGGGATGAAGATGGAAGCACCGGTGAGGGAGGAGTGCAGTCCTGGAGGGGATTGCTTTGGCAGGTAAATCTGCCAAAGTGTGCTAATATTCTGTGCATACTGGGACATTATGGATAAGGCCCCATTCACACGGGGCATTCATCTACGTTCTGGGATTCCTGTGGCAAGAACCTAATGATTTTTGTGGCAGGAACCCCAGATGTCCTCATTCAGATGCACCTGTCTGTGGCTGTTCGCATGCCACACGGTACAATTACATGATGTAGTGATTAGCTACAGGGCAGCACAGTGGCGTAGTAGTTAGCACTTCTGTCTTGCAGCACTGGGGATCCTTGGTTTGAATCCCAGCTAGGTCACCATCTGCAAGGAATTTGCATGTTCTCCTTGTGCTGTCTGTGGCTGTTCGCATGCCACACGGTACAATTACCTGTCTGTTTCCAGGGACAATCATCTATCCCTAACCGGGTGCTCCGGTTTCCTCCCACACTTCAAAGATAGGTTAATCGGCTCCTCTCTAAAAAAAATTGTCCCTCTATGTATGTGAGATAGGGACCTTAGAGTGTAAGCTCCTTGAGGATAGGGACTCATGTGAATGTGCAACTGTGTAATTTGTCAGCACTATATAAATACCTGTAACGATAAATAAATGTTAACTTGAACAAGCACAGCAGCCACGTCTGAATTGGGACACCTGGTATTTTTGCTGCGAGAATCCATAGGTTCTTCTTGCCAAAGGAATCTCAGAATACCTCATGTGAATGCAGCTTAAAAGTTACTGGGGGCGACACTGCTTGCACTACATTGGAGGGATACATCTATACCTGACTTCAGTGATGTCATCCGTAATGTTAACCTCTAATGTGCTTATGAACGCATGTTCATAAGCACATGAAAAATGGCAAATTCAACTCATTCCTGTCGTAGTGGGATTGCTGGATTAATCACCCTATGTATAAACACTGATGATTCAAGTGACTTGATTGTTGACCTATTGAATGTGACAATACTTTCAATGGTATATAAGTACGTGTAATTATCATTTTCTTTTTGTTGCCTATTGCTTACTGTGTATTGTATACTTTTAAAAAACCCTCAATAAAACAATTGAAAGAGAAAAGTTCCTCGGGGGCTTTTTTTTTTCAAGTAAGTTTATTTTCACTTTAAAAAAGGAATATTATTGTATTTTTGGTGCTACAATTAATAAAATATATACGCAAGCATAATACAATCCACTTTTATTAAATAAAACAGTAAATGCAACAGAAGGGCAGCTCTGATAAATGACTCTCTGCTATAAATTCCAGTGACTCTATCAAGCAAAGTCCACAGGTCTTTTAGGACGTTCTCTTCCAGAAGACCTACCCTGTATGATCTCTGTTCTCCATTCTTCAATGTGTCTGTGATCTATGGATATGAATATGAGTGACATCTATGTGATGTCACAGCTGACTGTAGTTATAGTGTTGCAATGCCCAGTCTGATCCTCTGTTCCATTCTGATGAACTTTACCCCGTGTTTATCTGTTGGAAGGTTTCATAGTCCATCTGAAAACCTGGAGCTGTAGAGAACGAGTCTGCTGTCAGGAGAAAGACATGGATTTTATTTCAAATCTTGGTCCGTCGGCTTTGATCAAGTATGTGATTTCCACCTTTTACTCGCCATGCCTGTGAACTCAATGTGATATTGATGCATATGGTGCTGTCTAAGGAAACATGACATTGACTGTAAACCAATTCCATATTATTTACCTAAACAATCACCATTATCCTTCCGTGTCTTTTGTTTTACAGGTCTGTCTCCTCTGTAGGATCAGAGATATCACGAAGAGTGAAAACAGCGTCTGCGCCACCTCAGAGACCTTTCCGTGTTTGTAGTCATGAACGCAGCACGCGGAAAGGAATTACTGCTGGAACACTTCGAGAACTTGTGGCAAAGGTATAGAGACTATAGAGGGTGATATATGAAGAGATTTTGTTTTCATCTGATCCCGTTGTTAATAGGATGTAAGGCCTGGGTCTCATTTGCAGAAATTCTGTACAGGTAGCTGTAACTGACAGCATCTTCTTATGTTGATACAATATGCTCCATTAATAATATTTATAGTCTATCTAAAGCCCTTTTTTAAAAAAATTTGGATAAAGTAGGGGAAAAAAAATAACTTTTTTGCTGTCTGGATACCATTGGGGACATTTCTCTTCACATCCTGTTCCAGAGATGCAACAGGAAGTTAGAGGAAATTTTCCACAGTAAGGGGAATGTACCCAGAGCAGGTGCCCCCATTGGACGATTTCCCTCACTTCTTGTCCTTTACTTTACTTCTTGTCCTTGTCCATTAGTTTACTGTACATTAGTGGTTTTATCCAGTTGTCTCTAGAAAAAAAGTAATGAAATAAAAAATCCAAGCACATGTGTGGCTGTGTAAGAAGAAGAATAATAATTGTAATTTGTGAAGCCAGCATAAAGATCAATATGTGTTACAAATTCATATATTGTACACAGAAATATTATTTTGGGGCACAATATTTGTCTATAGGGAACTTCTTGTTTGGTAATTCTGTTGAAATATTATGGTGGCAGTTTCCACTCAGCCTTACCATGGGCCTATATGACTTATAACATAAGTGTCAACAGCATTAGGTGTTTATGCAACTTGTGCTTTATTCTATCTTCCTTAAAGTGTATTCATACCCAATCATTTCAGTTTTGGATAGAGTGTACATATTTACATAGTTTGTCAGGTTGAAAAAAGACACATGTCCATCGAGTTCAACCTATAGAGATACGTAGAAGGATTAGAATGCTTTGTTAGGTTTTACTGCCATCAGAGGCTCCTTTGGAGAGATTCCTTCACTTCCTGTCTGCTAAAAAGTATTTTCCCAGAACAGGAAGTGAGGGGAAATCTCTCTAACAGCAACACAGATGAAAAATGCTTTTAGTTAAGTAGATGAAAGCTGGAACCTCTGTCAGCTTTTTATTGTTGTCTGTTTCCCTGTTTCAGAATTTTCCTCACTTCCTGTCTGGTAAGAAGTTGTCCCCAGAACAGAAAGTGAGGGGAAATCTACCGACACCCAAGACAGCAGTAAAACCAAATCCAAGAAAAGTACATTTTGAGTATACAAACACATTAAAGAGGACCAATCACAATTGTGTTTGCTAACTGTACATGCTTTGTCTGAGCACATCTTATCTTGGAGATGAAAATTAAAATTGAGGGGTCCTATGAGGTCTAACAAATGCATGTACATTTATTATGTGGGAATGGAGGCAATAATAAATGGTATTAGTATATTTCCTTTTCAGGTCAAATGTAATATCAGGAAAATACCACATTATGGCCATTAGATGGTGCTGAGGAGCATAGGAAAGAAGTATTTTCTTTTTTGGCTCAACTTCATCTAGTGACCATAATGCTGTATTTTCCTTTTATTATATTCAATCTGAAAAGAAAATATACTAATACCATTTATTATTGCCTCCGCACAGAATGAATGTACATTTTATTTATAAATACACCTCATGAAGTCTCCTAGCTCCTTAGTGTGTATAAAAGTATTAAATATTGAAACCCCGTGCTTGGTTACTTCAATTATAACTATGGGGCTTTGATATTTAACACATTCATGCAGTCAGAAACCGGGATAGAGCAAGATTTATAAGCATGAGGTGTTAAATTAAACTTTGAACCGATGTACCTGTAATGAAGAGAGAACTTGCCTCTCCTGTTGCCCACACCCCTGAACAATGCATTTATGAAGAAGAATCAGGTGCTGAAGTTTCTTCCTCCTGTCGACCCCTACGTCAAGTCAATACAGGGTCAGGAGAGCAAAACTCCCGGAAGACAATTCTTTTTCATCAAAGTGATGTTCAGAAGTATTTGCAGCGGAAAAGGTAAGTGGTGGAGCGGTATAGCCGCTCTGCTGCACAATGTTTGCAGTGTGCCTGTCGCCCCCTTTCTAGCCAGAGTGTCCCAGGTTCTAAGGGCCATACACATCTCCCTGCTCAGCTATTAGCAACCTGGGGCGCTCCTGGCAACCACTGATATCACTGGTTGCCAGGGCCTCCATCAGGGGGGTATAGCCGATAGCCATGTAAGGGCCCGGGCAGCCTGGGGGGCCTAGCCCCTTCAGTGGGTGGACTGACTGACCTGACCAAGGCTGGGGGGGGGCACTGACAGGGGAGAAAGTGGAGGTGGAGGAAGCCGGGGCCCAGCAGAGCCGGTCCGGCAGCGGAGGAGCCCGGGAGCTTAGCAGCACCGTTCCGGTGGTGGAGGAGACCAGGGCCCAGCAGCGGCAGGTAAGTAGCTGCATGTGCAAGGAAAGGGACCCTGACCAGCCCACTAGAGAACCTGCAGAGCCCACCATAGAGATGGGTTGTGCAGGATCTATGGTGGTCTCTTTAGGATCACTCTCAGGTGGGCTGTGTGGGGTCTCAGGTGGGCTGTGTGGGGTCTCAGGTGGGCTGTGTAGGGTCTCAGGTGGGCTGTGTGGGGTCTCAGGTGGGCTGTGTAGGGTCTCAGGTGGGCTGTGTGGGGTCTCAGGTGGGCTCTGTGGGGCCTCAGGTGGGTCCAGAGTCCAGTTCATTACTAAGTTCTGAGTCCAGTGTGTTAATAAGTTTTGAGTCCAATTCATATACTGTTCTGCATTGCTGTATAATGTATTGCTGGGATTTGTAGCCCCCCCCTACAGCCTGTGTCATTCTGCATTGGAGTGTTAGCTCCTCTGTACAAAAACTAATGTGACTGGAACAGTGTTCTCTATACAGCACTGTGTATATGTCAGAGCTATATAAATGTATAATAATAGTGTGGGACCACAATTACCAGCATGCCTTTGGCAGCAATTAGTTCCATACTGCACTCATCACCTACTGATCACTTTGTGTATACATTTTCATATTAAAGCTGCATCAACTATTGATTTCTTGCTTCTCTTGGAGACTTCAGTGGTAACCTTTCTTCACCCTCACCCTTCTTGCTGCATTTTCCATAATGTAAAATGACTGACAGATAAAACAAGGAAAGTGAATTACCCTATCAGTGGCTGCAGCATTGCGCAGCTGGGTACTGGTGGGTGATGAAACCCATTATCCAGGTCCCCTATTATGATGCTGATGTTTATAGAGTCTCTTCTGTTTCTGGACAGGCTATGGATGCTCTCTTCCTGACAGGAATTGTGAGTTTAGTTCTGGAGGAAGATGGGACAATGTTGGACACAGATGAGTTTTTTGAAACACTCGAAGATGGTTCAGTGATCATGGTCTTGGAACAAGGGCAAAGATGGAATCCAAGAAAGGTGCCAGTATATTGAAATCTGTGTTTATTATACTAATTTGCAAGACATACAGTACTTTTGATGAAATACCACTGGAATAAAGTGCAGAATATTAGAAGTGTTAAACAAAAAAGAACCACTTATGGCAAGGTTTTATTCTAGTTGTATACTAAACTTGTAAACTGGGAGGTCCTGACATGGGTCCCGACTCATCCTCATGTGACAATAAACAGAAAAAAAACAAATTGAGGTAACATAAATGCAGATCCCATTGGGATGTCAATGAAAATTAATCTACACTTCTAGTACTATAGATGAGATACAGACTCATTGTGGAGCCTTAGAGCTGCTGCACAAAATACCGTGGCTACAAAACTGAAATAATATAAATTAGGGTTTTTTTTCATTCTAAGGCCTTGTTCACACAGGCATAAAGAACAGGTATTTGTTCCATATTAATATTATTATTATAATACAGGATTTGTATAGCTTCAACAGTTTGTGCAGCGCTTTACAAAATAGAGCGAAACAGTATAGTTACAATACACTTTCAATACAGGAGGGTTAGAAGGGCCCTGCTTGAGAGCTTACAATCTAGCAGATATAGCTTTCCAAACACTTTGCAAAGCTTATGATTGTTCCTTACATGAATTGTGAATGGTCCAGAACACACAGTGAGGTATATTTATAAACAACTGTTTTTTCCATGTAAAATCGCATTATAGACACTAACAGGTTTATTCACAAAAGGGTGAAGAGTTTGGAGAGGGCAGGAGAAGTGAACAATCTAGGACAACAAAACAGATTCAGGAAAAATTCTCCAATGCAGCTCACTTTCCGGGTTCAGCTATGTTGTCCTAGATTGTGCACTTCTGCCTTCTCCAAACTCTTCACCCTTTTTGTGAATAACCCTGTATGTATTTATTTTCTAACCTTTTCAGCACCATCTAGTGGCCTTAATTCAGTATAATGTGGAAAAACAACAAACAAAAATGCATTGCTAAAACTAAAGAACATTCATTTTGGCATATCTCTGCATTGATTGAATGTTCACAAATACAGGTGAAACTCGAATAATTAGAATATCGTGCAAAAGTAATTGCAGTAAGTGCTGTAAAAGGGGCCCAAACCAAGTACTGAGTACATATGCATGCTTGTACTTTTCAGAGGTCCGATATTGTTCTATGTACAATCCTTGTTTTATTGATTGCATGTAATAATCTACTTTTTTGAGGTTGTGGATTTGGAGTTCTTGGGGTTTTCATGAGCTGTAAGCCATAATCATCACAATTATGACAAATCACGGCTTGAATTATCTTGCTTTGCATGTAATGAGTCTATCTCATATATTAGTTTCACCTTTTAAGTTGCACTAGTGAAATAAATGAACTTTGCACGATATTCTAATTATTCGAGTTTCACCTGTATATACAGAGCAATGACAATGTAAATTGTATATAAATAGTGTGATGGGTGGTTTTGTGTGACTTTGCCTTGCCTAATGGCAAAGTATTACTAAACTCAGGAGTTAAATCTTAAAAATTAATTCAAGTACCTTAGCTATTAACAAAATGTATCTTATTTGTGCATCACTCGGCTGTAGATCCTCAAACCATCTCTGAATTGGTGCTGACACTATCTTTCCTTCCGGAGGGTGGCTACTTTTGTTACCCATGGTCCCTGTGTGTTGTAAAGTAGCCACCACTCCAAGCTCGCTCCCGTGGGGGGAATTTATCAAAACTGGAGCAGACAAAATGGAGCAGATTTGCACTGCAACAAATCAGCATCTATTTCTCATTTTCAAATTTTACCTGGGCAAATTGAAAAGAGATGCTGATTGGTTGCCATGGGCAACTGCTCCAGATTTTGTCTGCTCCAGTTTTGATAAATTCCCCCCAATGCATCTCATTTGTGTATCACTCGGCTGTAGATCCTCAAATCATCTCTGAATTGGTGCTGACACTGTCCTTTCTTCTGGAGGGTGCCTACTTTTGTTCCCCATGGTCCCTGTGTGTGTTGTAAAGTGCCAACACTCCAATCTCCCTCCCGTGATGGACTAAAATCTCGTGTTTAGTTTACTAATTTGTATTGAGATTGTATCCATCACAGGAGCGAGCTTGGAGCGGTGACTACTTTACAACACACACAGGGACCATGGGGAACAAAAGTAGCCCCCCTCCAGAAGGAAAGACAGTGTCAGCACCAATTCAGAGATGATTTGAGGATCTACAGCTGAGCGAAACAACAAATAAGATAATTTTTTGTTAATAGTTAAGGTATATGAATGCATTTTTAGGTTTAACTCCTGAGTTTAGTGTCACTTTAATTTTTGTCTTGCCTGCAAGGTTTGGCAGGTTTTACAACTTGTTAAACTTGCCAAATGTCTCCATTAAAGTCAATTGAAGCCCACCGCAAATGCATTCTCAATGTCTGCTAAAGGCTTTTAAAATTTAGTCTTAACGTCCGTGTGAACTGAGCCAAAAATACACTTTATGTACTATATGTTCTCCAAAGTGATTCTTTGCATATGTGATATATAGTTTAGCTTGTACCTTTTCTCCCTATAGGGTGTCTCATCGTACTCCCTGCAGAAAGAGAAACCAAAGAATAGTCGGGATATTGCACGTATAACATTTGATATCTACAAGCTAAACCCACGTGATCTGTTTGGTAGTTTGAATGTTAAGGCAACCTTCTACGGATTGTACTCCATGAGCTGTGATTTCCAGTGTCTGGGACCCAAGAAAGTGTTCAGGTGAGAGACAACATGCAGGTCTCTGCAAATCTGGGTAGCTTGCAGAGGTTTCCATTTCACATTTCACTCTGCACAGGCATCTTCTAGGAGTGTTACTCAGGAGAGATTGTGCTAAAGAAAAGTTCTGTAGAAAAACATGCTTAACCCAACTTGTTCAGGTCTGACAAAAAATATACATAAAATAATATTGCTCAAAAAATATCTCAATTTGGGTTGAGTGAATTAAAGGAGAAGTATTTGTAGAGTAAAACATAAACTTCCTAATACTGAGAACCGGAATGGGACACTGCAGCTGTCTTCCACCGGCTCTATAGCGAGACCTGAGTGACCACTCAGCACACAGTCTTTTCCCAGCAGAGAGCAGTGAGTTTCAGTCATGTGTGTGTCCCCCCCCCGTCCGTCCGTCCCCCCCCCGCCGGGTCCCCCCCCCATATCTGTTCCTTCAGTATTAACTAGAGAGACAGACAGGGAGGGTGCGGGGTCATATGAGATGACCGTCTCCGATCAGCTACCGCTGCCAACCTGTGGGTAACTTGATAAACCTGAGCTTCCGCTAAGTGGGAGTAAGGGGCTGTAATCGATTTGTGATGGCAATGCCTCCACCCAACTGGGCCTTGTGGTGTACAAGTGGGACCACCAGATGAGATAACCTTGTCCCCAGGTGTATTTACTTACATAAATCATCTTGCAGAAGTAAGCAGATGGAGAGTCCATGGGTGTCTTTTAATGAATCCTTTATGAGTGTTCCTGTGCATTGATAATATGAGGACATGGTATGTTTACTATAACTACAACTATGAATGAACAGGAGGTGATGTAGAGCACTTCCATTCATTCATAATTGAGGATATAGTACACATACCATGTCCTCAATTATGTACAATACACTCAGTGATCACTGATCGCTGAGTGCTTGTACCTTGCTCTCCACTCTGACACGCTGTCACAGGAGGCTGAGTGAGCGGTGCGGTGCGAGAGGAGAGCCCAGCCTCCTGTGACAGCGCTGGCTGTCTCCGCCCCCACACCTCTCTGCCGCACTGTGATAGGCAGCCGAGTGGTGTGGGAGGAGAGACACCGGCCGCTCACAGCGCTCTTGTCCCGCAGCGCTCGGCCGGCTGTCACTTTTTCTCTCTTTGCCGCTGGGACACAGAGCAGCGCCCAGCGGGTTTGAAAGAAATCACGGCTGCGCAGACAGCAAATGGCACTTTCGGCATTTAGACCGAAAGTGCAATTTTCGTCCGGCACCCCCCCCCCCC